AGGCCCGTTTACCCGTCATAGTCACCGAGACTGGTAAAAGTGGCGGGCTTGTCACGTTAGGATTTGTGGTCTATACGAATCTGGTAGCTGTCGTGAACGTTAAGCTATGTCTCGAGACATTTATGCTAACATGGCCATTCTTGCTCACAGTGACCATTTCGATTCTCTTGTGGTTTGCTGTCGGAACATTTATTTCGAGGTCAAGCACAGGATTTCCACAAGCCACAGGTGAGATGGAATTTTTACAAGATTTGCCAACGTTTTGGCTCGTGTGTCTCCTGGTGCTATCGTCCAGTCTTTTGCGTGACAGTGTTTGGAAACTTGTACGTCGATTTTCACTGCCTTCAATGTATCACATTCTTCAAGAGCGCGACCTTCTAGGCTTGCCAAACTCGCCGCGTCGCATTCAGCGAGAGCATCGACACTTTATATCAAACACAGCGTGGTCGGATGGGCTAGACACTGTTATCGACTATGCAAAGCTATGTAAGAACAGATCACGGATGGAAAGCCCCGAAGAAATGCTAATGCGTGCTTCACCCCTCGGCGAGCGGTTGATTGTGTCATGTTCATCCAATACCTCTACTGATGCAGAGATCGAACCACAGCGGGTGATAGGTTTTCAGGGCTCTGAAAAAAAGCGAAATATCCGTATTCGTGGATCATTTCAGTCCATCGGTACGCCTGATAGCCCCCCCACAGGCATGATGGCGTCTTTTCAGGAACCCTCTGGTTCTGGTGTTGTCACTGGCTTCGCTGATGCACCAGTCAACTCAAGGTCGTACCCATATGTGGGTCCAGCAGGCACCTATCACGGTTATGCGTTTTCAGAGGACGAAAATGTTGATAGCGATGTCGAGACTGTGTCTGCAAGGAACTGTCGAGTCGAAAAGGACCGAGCTAAGGCCGCATTCGGAGCGCATGTTTCTATCAAGAAGGTTTACAAATCGGTGCGTGGTAGGAAGAACGCATAATTGTTTCGTTGTGAAGGTCAGATTCGTTAGACGACATAATTTTTATGAATGGCAATAATGGCGTGGGGTGATCAACGGACTCGCTATGCACCTTAACTGTGTGGCGATATAGTCGTGCGATACGCACAGGTTGAAAATGGTCGCTGACAACTTGTTTGACTGGGCGTGCATACAACACTTGCTCGTGGAGTAACGATTAAGTAGCAGCCTCAACAAGCTAAGGCTCGCACTTTGATGATGTTAGTGCGTCCTTCTCGCGCTGCAAAAGAATCGATCGAAACATGAGCTCCTCAAAGCGTAATGGAGCATCAGCTCAAAGATAAGCATTGACTTTTTCACGTTTCTGCCTACCTATTCCCAGTGACTTTCACCGTTATCATATTGAATTATATCCGCAGCGGGCGAGGCTCCCTGCAGTGATAACCTATCGAATTTTTATGGCCAGTACACGAATATCCTACAATTAGCGCATCCCTTTCACTTAGTGGGATTTATTGCTGAAGCTGAGTTTATTGAGTGGTTTCAGTGGCCAATGCTTGAGCCGGGCGCGTGATATCCGTGATCCACATTTTCAAAGTTGTTATCTTCAACAGCATCAAGCAGAATATGAGACTGTCGATACCTCCCATTGCTGTTCGCCATCGTCGTAATGTACCAAAAAGTGCGATTTGTTGGCCACATTGACGCTCCGAAACCACTCAAACCACTCATTCCTTACATTCCAAAAGTGTTCTGACATGCAAAAGGTGACGCTCTGAACCTATATTGACTGTCGTAACGGGTGCATCGAGCACGGACGAGTCCGCGTAATCGTCAAATTCGTCGTCATCGTAATCCTGTTTCTTGGAGAAAGAGGACACAGAAGCAGACTCAACGGAGTGAAAACCTTCAGATTCGATGCTCTCGCTACTGCTAATGCTACTGCTCTTGTCGACGGATAAGGCGATTAGAAATTGGGCACTGTTCAAGAATATGTTACCAATGTATAATAATTGACTATTGTTCCACTGTCAAATTTATTCAACCGAGATACTGAAATATAGGTGAGCATTTGTCCAAATTGATAAAACCATTATTGGTGACACGAAAAGTGCGAGACGCCGGGGTTGGGTAGATGGGGTGAATAGGTGTTCATATATGCAGAGAAATACAAAATGGCACGAATGCCGCTTTGAGAGTATATACTGACGCAGCCGGGTGAAGACTTCACTTTCGCCACCAAGTGGAAAATAGAAGATGAGGACAAGACTTCCATCTAAGCGCCGTGACATCTTTAAGACGTGCGTCAAGTGGTGGAACTCGTCCGAGTCGATGCGTGAGCTGACCGGAGCGATAAAAGCTTCAGGGATGTTCGAGCTGGCATTAATGTCTATTGTGCCGACGATCTTTCACAACGATCATTGGATCCAGAATCTCACAGCCCAATCGGTCAAATGGATCCCTGCGCAAAACACGCGATTGCTGCAGCACAATACACTACTTCATCTGTTACGGTCGGACCTCAGTATGCACTGCATGCAGCAATAAAGTGAGGTGTAGTGGCAGGTCGCATGCTCGACGACCTCAAAGCGCTGCGCTAGCTCGATGGGCACGACCCTGTTGACTCTTGATGCTTCAGCTTCAAGACGTGGATGACGGCATGGTGATGGTTGCAGGCGGCTTAGCAGCTCGTTGCTAAACCATCCGCATTGCCCACCATGACATGGAACAACGTTAGTGTCCTCACCGTGAACGTTAATGACATCAAGAAGAACGGTCTATATTTACCGAGAGCTTGCTCTCCAAATACTTGGGTCGTGCGTCCAGGAAACTAAGCTGGCAGACAGCACGCACCTGTCAGCGCTCAAGATTTACCTCGACTCGAGCTTCAAGCGTGAGGCGCTGTTAGATCTACCCACGAGAGGTCAGAGGGGTGGAGTGCTCACGCTGCTTCGCTCTGGCAGCTTCGGCCTCGATTCGGCGATTGAATTACCACATCTGTCGGTCGCAGTTCGCTACCTCGTCGTGAAGGTGATGGTCGAGAGTGCTTTCTTCTACACCAACGACGTGTATGCGCCTGTGGATCGACAGAAAAAGCGACAAGACCGAGGGTTCGAGGATCAAGTGGCGCACTTTGTATTGAACGAACTCAACACTGCTCGACGCATTACATCTTGAGTTGAGATATCACTCGAGTTGATCCAGCTGCTTCGAGTTGCTAGCGAGCCTGGGTGTCGCCTATGCTTGGCAAATACACCTCGACACGAAGCGTGTGTTCACCGGTTCACTTCCGCAGAAAACCGGCTAGACTACATCCTACTTTCCGAGACGTTCTGCATCCGCTTCTAAGACGACTCGAAGTACTTCCTACAGAAGCACGATGGCGACCGCCTCGCTCACTGCATAAGCGTCCGGTCGGGTAAACAGCTGCACGATCGAAGCTTCTGGAAGCTCCCGTAGTACCTTCTCGACCACCCAAAGGTTGTGTTTGCGATCGAGAAGGAAGCCGAGGTGGTTCGAGATCAACCGCATGCGGATGTGAGCTCCGGCAAGGTGTGGAAGATGGGCATCAAGACACAGCTGTGCAGAGCAAGATTTGGGTGCAATACACGCAAGTTGTTGAGGACACCAGCATTGCAGTCGACTATGCTGTTGCTCGATATCGTACATCAGCTAGCGACTTGAATAGCGAGCTCTTTAATGAAGCCATGAGAAACTTCAAAGAAACGGCCATGCAGGTGAGTCAGTACAACCAAAAGACTGCGTTCGACATTCAATCGGTCGGCGCCGAGAAGTCCACCAAGTACTTCATCCGTCCTCTGAACACGAGTCTGAATTGAGTCTCGATCGAGGAAGTCGTGACACCAAGTGGAAGTGTATCGATGAACCCTCACTAGATCTTGCTTCAGCACTGGGGATCTGAGTTGGGAGATCTCAACAGTCCAGCAGGAGGAGCACCTCCACCCGACAAGCCATGCAGCGTAAGCTTCTCAACTCGATCGGGCGATCTTCACGCACCAATCACAGCTGCCGACCATGCAAATGCGAGACTGCACACGAAAGCGACATCCTTGCTGGGTATAGACGGGTTGACCTCTAGTTTCTACCAGGCCGCTCCGAATGTGCTCAAGAATCGTGTCAGACCAACTTCGCCGTGGGGCTCTGCTTCCATCTCAGCTCAAGTCTGCCTGTGGTACATCTGCACAATAAGGGACCAAGGGCAAAACAAGGCAAATACTAATCGATCGCACTCATGCAGTCGATGTGGCTGTTGGTCAAAGACGCTGACATATCGTCAGCAGCAAGCTATCGCCGACCTATTAACAAAGAACAGAAACGACGGTCGATCACTTACCACTTGCAAATCCTCGCTGAATTGCAGGATCCCGTGACTGCTCGCGACAAAGAGGCGTACGCGATGTTCTTGGACTTCCATAAGGCGTTGGATCAATTCAACCGGCACTGTTTGATTTGGCTGTTCGAGAGGATGAGGTTCGGCACAACGTTTACTCGATTGAACAAGCTTTTGAACACGAAACCACAAGCGTATCTACTGATCAGCCAGAAATCCCTGCCCGCACTTCATCCAACTCAAGGCGTGAAGCAAGGTTTCCCATGTCTGCGCCACTCTTCGTCTTGACGATCGAGCCTCTTAGCAACCTGCTGAGGTCCCACAAAGAGTACGTTGTGTGTTCAAACGCAGGACACACAGCCACAAGCGTTTTCTTCGTAGATGACTCAACTCTGCTTGCGAGCTCGGTCGCGAGCCTGCAGTTGCAACATGAGATCGTGGAAAACTACCGCAGAAGCTCCGGCGCAAAGCTTAAATTTTCCGTGTTAGTACGCTTGGCGCTTAATCGTAATCAAGAACGCCCTGTGTTTTCTGGCTTTCAAGCGCTCCAATTCGGAGACAGTCAAGTTTTTCGGCATCCCGATCGGAAAGGGTTTGGTCGACGACACAATCATCAAGTGTTTCGACCAACGCTTCTACGACGGCATCAAGGCGTGGTATCAGCGCGCACGCGCGTTCCTTGGTCGACTTCTAGTAGCACAGACGATGATACTTTCCCGTCTATGGCACTACATGTGGCTTGTATCAATACCAACACCGATCGTAAAGCGGGGCAGTCGGTGCTGAATCGTTCGCGCTGAGTCGCAAGCACGACCGCGATGCGTCGCACGTGTAACTTATACCGAATGAGTTTGTGCACCAACGGCGCAGTGACGGCGGACCCGGCGTCCCAAGGATATACACGCACCTCGAGCGCCAGCGCCTTACACTACTATTGCAGTACCGCAGTATGCGTGCGGCGAGTGACGCAAGCGTACGGAATCGGACTACAGCGAGTACTGAGCTGCTCAACTCTGTTCTATCTCGCACTGGGCGATGCAACGCGCTCGACTCTCTCACGATCTCTCCGCTTTCCGATGGCGAATCGTTAAAATACCCTGACGTCGACATGGTGGCGCGCGACTTGGGTCGGGTGGTACTAGAAACACTGGGTGATCACAAGGCACGACAAA